TTTCACGAACTGATGTCAAAGTATTGTCTTAATAGATATCAAGGTTTTCACGAACTGATGTCAAAGTATTGTCTTAATAGATATCAATGATTTCACGAACTGATGTCAAAGTATTGTCTTAATAGATATCAAGGTTTTCACGAACTATCCTCACTGACATTCCCCACTCAAGTGCCGCCAAAAGGTCCAAACAATGGACTTTTAGTGTGTCGGTGCTGGGCGTAGTGTCACTGGATGTAAGAGCATCCGTTATGTTAATGCCCACTACGCCAGCACCTATTGTGCCATACTGTTCGCTATTGTGTGACATATGCCACTATTTTGTGCCACAATACGAATAACATCTGGGTAAATAAGCGACAAAAAAAGTTGATATAAAAATATATAAATAATATCAAATATAAATATGGTTATAAGTATTGAGTAAATCAATCGAATTAAGTCGTGTTAGTCGTGTGTATAAGTGACCAGGATAACCAAAAAATGGCCATGATGTGTGTTTACCGTCTAAATTTAATACGCTCGTATGCGCCCAAAAACTGTTTACAACTAGGACAGTTATGCATTATGTCTTGGGTAGGGTTGGCGCAGAATGGTATCAGACAACAGCCGCAAAAGCATCTAGATTATTGTGGAAAATGAATATGGTAATTAATTTGATTAATCAGTGTGTAATGTGTTATAACATAAATGGATTTTTTTGTGTAACTCTTATCGCAAATTGTTTGTATTAAGTAAATATTTATTCAATTGAGATAGACCTTCAACTAATTAATAAAAAGTTATGAATAACACATTTATTAATTATTATAATAGCCTGAATTATAATACATAAACCTCTATTGATTATTTTAATCATGGTTGTTTGCGAGGATTTGAGTTGTATTTAAACAGTTATTATTGACTTTAATTAGTAATTATTTCAAATATAAATAACTTATTTAAAATAAATGTAAACAATATATGCTATATTTTAATAAAATAACTAAAATAACTAAAATAATAAAATTTGATTAACTTATTGTATTAAATTAAATCTGCATAACAATTATACCACGTTAGATCGCTATAATTAACTAAATACATAACATTAACAATACTAACTATATCATTATAATACAGATTAACCATTATGAAACATAGAGAACATAAAAATCATGGTGACAATTGAACTCAAAAACAATACATACCCTACTATACACAACAGGGAGCACAGGGCCCACGTAATGGTGCCGGCCTTTTGACTGGTCACTGTCATCACCTGTTGGCCGCAATGGTAGCACTTCATGGCCTTTGGGAAGGGGCCAA